CTCTCTCTCTCTCTCTCTCTCTCTCTCTCTCTCTCTCTCTCTCTCTCTCTGTCTGTCTCTCCTTTACAACAACTCTATTTATACTTCTACATGGCTCTAAATGTGTCTTGTCTAACATATTTCATCAGAAACACTAAGAACCAAAGACCAAGGAAGTTAGAGGCTAGTTCCTGGCTGCATCAAGACCTCGCTTTCTCGTGATAGATACCACAGGGAGTGATATTTGAGCTGCTGGAGGGTAAGTTTTTGCTAGTGAGTATTTGTCTATTATTATTTAATTCATTTGATGTATTGAGTTATCAGTTACTAGTACTACCAAAAATTCATATGATTGGAATTTCCAAGGTAGGTCAAGTTTTTGCTCTGAAGTTTTCCCCTATGGTATCACATGAAGCACCCTTGTTTACTATCCTGGGAAACAAAGGAAAGGCAGGAGGTATCACAATACCTGACCTCAAATTATACTGTAAAGCTGCTGTGATAAAATCAGCATGGTGCTGGCATAGCAAGAGATCTAAGGATCAGTGGAACAATTAGAAGATGCAGATACAACTACAAACACACTCAGCAACATTATCTTTGATAAAAGGGCCAAACATTTCACTGGAAGAAAAATAGATTCTTTAATTAAAGGTACTAGAAAAACTGGCTTTCCTCATACTGAAAGCTAAAATTAGACCCATTTCTGTCACCATGCACAAAACTGCAGTCATATATTTTAGGAAAGGGTCTACAGGGGGTTCAGGGTCTCACATACTAGATCAGACTCATAGTAATTGGCCTACTTACAGCCTCCCAAGAGCTAGGATTACAGGAGCGCACCACTGTGCCCAGTCTCAATTGCTATCTCAGTGAGCCCCAGGGGTAGGGCCAGCATGGCAGGCCCCAGAATTGAACCCCCAGCCCCTGTGCCTGCTTGCAGGCACTTTAATCCACTAAGCTATTTGGCTGGCCCTACAGATTTAAACATTAAAACAGAAGCACTAAATCTTCTGGAGGAAAATGTAGGCATAAATCTTGAAGATACAAGGGTAGGCAGAGAGTTCATGAACAAAAACCAAACAGCAAGAGAAACACTTCAAAGAACCAACAACAGGGATCTCATGTTCTTTTTCCATAATTTTATTGATAAACAGCAATGAGACAGTTTCGAACCAAATTGGTAGGACAGTTTCAATAATTAACACATTGCATACATTCCTTCCAGTGGTTAATTGCTGTGCAAGATGCGGACATTATATCTTATCTACAAACACCATTAGAACAAATCACTCTATTCATTAAGAGAATGTAACTATATATCTATCCCAACCACTTTGAATACACAGATACAAAATGGACATT